GGTAGCTGAAGAGTTTTTTTGTGGGGGGGTGGAAAAACCCTTCAGATTTTGATATGGAAAGGAACTTTTTTCTTCCATTGCACAATCATGCACAATTTTTTTCTGTGACATAAAATTCTGCAAACCACCTTTAAACAAAAGTACTGTATACACTGTTTACATGTTTCAGACATCGGAGCTGACTGGCTTATTTTCCATGGGAGGTTCATGGGTGAATCTGTCACTTTAAATGGCTCTGATCTTTTGAATATACTTCCTCAGATGTGTCCTTACTTGGATTTCCTTTGAGCTTAGATTTATTTACAGTGTCAAGGGTTCTTTGATCCATCTGACTCTTTGCCAGTTGGTTATTGTTAATCAGCAATTCAACACTAGCACTACTCCTGTTATAAATCTCTGGCCCTTGTACATCCTTGTATATGATTTTGAACAAGTTGAACATTGAATATGTTCTAAACTTAGGTTAAATGGCTTTCATTTATTTTCTAAATAAAATTATTGTCTGTAAATCCAATAAAGGATATTATTATTCAAGTACTGTACATTTTAACTTTCACCCAAATTTTTGATAATTTTCCAAATGAAATATCCAAAAACCACACCTAATCTGAAGAGAGGGCACTTGAAATTATTCCAGTTCTGAACTTCCTCCGTTTCCAGGAACCTTGGACAGATTCCAAAGCAAAACAGACGGTGTTATCCCTCAGCGGGCTGAGAAAGGCACGATTCTGGGCCTCATTCCAAACCAAGGCCTGTACCCAGAAGTATAAGCCGTATTTCTGAATGAATGAATGGAGGGGACTTTAGTTTGGAGATGCAGGTATGGTAAAGCAGGACAGAAAGATATATGAGGTACTGAAAATACTTGAGTGCCGAAAAAAAATACAAAGTAATTCAGGTTACCTGGAGAAGGGTGAGGATGATGGAGCAGTTTTTCCTGACGAAGTTGTTTGAGTTTATAACACCGCTCCTGTAGAAATATGTGTTGAATGTCTAGAAAAGGGAAAAGGTATGGGGGTTTTATGAAATAGTCAAATAACAAATATTATATAAAAAAACATAGATATTACTAGAACTTAACTTTACGTTATTTAATCAAGTGCACCTCAGAATCAGTATAATTTGAAGGCTGTGAGTTTGCTGTTATAAATAAAGGTATATGAACAAAAGCAGTTAGTACAGCAACAGCTGTGCTGCAGAGTTTCATGCTTTAGTGAAACAAAAGTTGAATTCTGGACTCCTATCCTGCTGGTGGACTATCCATAAATGACAAGAGCAAAGGAAAAGAAAAAGCAATATCTGACAGAAAATAACATTTACCAGATGTAGACAAGTCCTAGGTAAGTTGTGAGGAAGAGACAGCTTTCTAAAGTTCAAAAGAAGAGGAAAGCTTATCTCTGCTGCACAGACAGTTCCTTTACTCTCTTCCTGAGATTGTCAAAAACATAAAGAAGTTATATGGACTTGTCAGGAGATAAAAGCTGTGGTCCTTAAACCACATTTTATACAGTAATCTGTCCAAACCCACATTTTACTAGAGCCTAAATCAGTTTAATTTTAATTATGAAATAATTTTCATATAAAGTCAAAACCCAAAAAATACCAGTCATTTGAACATGCTGATGATTGCACAAGGTCAGTCTGTCTTCTACTTTTAAATGCACAGATCATTAAGGGTCAGTAAACTAACTGCTAGTGTTTAATTACCCTTATTTTGAAATGTAGTAGCCTAATTCTTTATTTCATTTAGAAAGTAACAGATGCAGACTAAAACCTTTAAAAATATGTGCCGAGTAAACTTTTTCTCTTTGCATACTTATATTAGTTGTTTAATATATTCAAATGTGTTGTGGCTTCAAAAGGTTTTCATACCCTTCAAACATTTTCAAGTTGTGTTTCATTCCAACCACAAAGTTCAGTGTATTTTTGGGGGATTCAATGTGATTGACCAACACAAAGAATTATGTAACAATGAAGAGTAAAATAAAATCTAATAATGTGGGGTGCACTTCAGTCCAATCCCCGTTACTTTCAAACCCTTCAATAAAATCCAGTGGAATCAATTGCTTTCAGATGTCATTTAGGAAAAATGTATTTTGTCCTTGATTCATTTTCAAGTCAAATAGGTAAATAGTCCACTTATATTTTGTTTGTGGACGATTTAGGTGACAAAAAACTAACACTGAACTTCAACCTGAAAACATGTCCCCTGTGGTAAAGCATGGTAGTGGCAGCATCGTGCAATGAGGATGCTTTTGTATTGCAGAGAGAGGGAAGCTGGTCAGAGTTAAAGGATTAATCAATCAAGCTAAAAGTTCAGGTTATTTTCACATTTAAAAGGCAAGATAGATTTAGAAATGCTTTGAAATACCATTAAAAGCAACAATGACAGCCTTAGCAGAAACATGTCATCTCGATATCACCATTCTGTTGATTATCAAACAACCTTGGTTCTGAACTACTTTTAAATAGAAAGGCAAATGTAATTTTTGTGTGTAACTTATTTGGACAAGACATGTACACTTTTACAATACCTGACTTTATGATTCCATTAGTGTAGCACAATTGAGCCCAAAGATACTGAAAAAAAAATTAATTCACAGTGACAAATAGGTCTTGCAGTTTTATTTATAAAATAAATTCAAGTCAGATGTGAGAAAGTAATAAGGTAAAAAAGAAAAGGGATTGAACTTGAAGAAAAGACTTATTAGAACTTGAATGCACCAGGCTGAACAAGTTATTGTATAGATAAAGTGGATAATTCAGACTTTCAGCTACTTTTTTTAATCACTGTGTGTTGAAAAGCAACAGACGTAAGGCAGGATAGACATTATTTCCGTTGTGTTCCAGGCTTTTAGCTGTCTGGTAATATAATTATACTCCTGTAACTGTGAGAAAGATAGTGAGGGAGAGAGAAAAGATGAAGGAGGATATATTTAAAAAGCACCCATCATTAGATGCTCAACCCAGAAATTGAAGTCACACTGAAGTATATGACAAGAAGTGAATAATCTTTGGTGAATGTAATTTAGTTTCAAACTGTAGTGCTCAAAAAAGTCTGCAATAGGGCACTTAAGAAAAGCCCAATATTCTCTTTTGAATTGTTTAATTTCTCCTGTTTGATTATCACTTGCTTATTATGTTGTCCAGAAAAAACAAACTTTGTTGTGGTAGTGATCAAGATGCAGGCAAGCAGGTGGAATAAATGATCAAAAATTGAATAGTTCAATAAACTAGCAAGAGTTGATCACAAGAGACAATAAGAGACTCTGGCAAGTTTATTGTGAAAACAAGGGTTTGTATTAGGGATCTCCCAATGAGGACTTTTGTGTTGTGACTCCTTTTCAAGTCAATTAGGAATCAGCAACTGGTGATTCAGTCACTTATTCACACAGCACATTTAAAACCTAGGTTACACTAAAAGTGCTGTGCAGGCAAAATACAAATAAATCCAGCAAATAATATGAGCTGAAATAGACCACGTACTAAAATGGGCTTCTGAAAGAAAATAGTGTGCCAATCCAAAAACAAGTAAAAACCTATTAAAAACCAGCTACAGGATCATACTCAACAAGGCCAGAAAGCCTATTTAAAGAGGTGGGGTTGTTTTGCTTTTACTTTTTTTGCTAAATTGGCAGATCTCACATAAAATGTGGCACCATTGTAGAGCATTGTTGCAGTAAATGACGTGGCTATTTAAAATGTTCAGTCTAGAACAAGGGACTTAAATTGCTGGTTTAAAGATATAAAATCTGATCAGGCACCCTAATACAATCCTATCACAACATTTCCATTTTTTATACTGAGGAAAGTAAAGGCAAGGGTGCAGGTGTGTTGATTGCAAAACAGAGACCTTATTATCTGAAAGCACAGGGGGAAAATCAAAATAAAGCAGGAAGCAAGCATTTCAGAGAAAACAAAGACACATAATATACCAAAAAATACCAGTATAAACCTCTACAAAACAGATGTTAAAAATCGACATGACTGTAACTAACAGGTTTTAAATGTCTTGCTACTTTTTACTAGATGGATATTTATAAAATAAATCTTGTCATGTGGAGTAGCTGTCGCTCAAACAATAACAGGGTTATCCTTTAATCAGAAACTTGCAAATGTATCCTCAACTTCCCCAGTTTTGATCCTTTGGAGGCATTGCCTGTTCTTAATTCAAATCTGAATGTGATACTTCATACCCAGTAAAAACTGAAACCAGTTTGTAAATCAGCCTCCAGCTTCTCTCCTGATTTACTTTCTGCCTCTCCGACTGTCCGCATGTCAATTATCTCCCTTCTCCAAACAACCCATGATAATCACACAAAAGCTGGATGCCCCATTAAATTTCTAACACAGTCACCCCCCCGGATAGCGATGAATCACTGAATACAAATCATAGGGAGAGGACTTCTCACCCAGAGCACTGGCAAGACAGTGTCTAATTTCCACTAATTCGAATAATTACTTCGTGAGATGCATTAAAAGTTTTATAAATTAAAATTGAGGAAATTTACAAAATAGGTCACTGCAACAGCAAGTAGCAGCATTAAAGCAAAGCAAGTGGATTTTAAATATGAAGAAGATTGGATGTGAAACATATTTAACCGAAAAACCAGTATTTAGAATTACATGGAGGCTTTCCATCATGAAACGCAGCCATATTGAAAATCAATATCAGTTTAGTGATAAGGCTGCTTTTTTAAGGAGCTCCTAACCCTGAGGTAGACTTAATGTTTGGGGCATTTTTTGTCAGAATAAGCGCCTATGACTGAAAACACCAGTAGTAATTAGCTTACTTCAATAATAAATAGGGTCATGTAAGAAGTAACAAACAAGCACACCTGGTGATAATTAGAGAGCTGTAATTAGGAAATAACACATTTGCAACATCACTTTACACTAATGCCACACTGTCTCACTAATGCACACACATTCACATACTGACACACAGGTCAGTACACAAGTTGAGGTTAAGTACCTTGCCTAGGAGCACATCGATATATAGCAAGAGGAAGCTGGAATCGAATCCACAACTTTCCAATTGCAAGACGACTACTCTTCCCACTGAGCTACTCTTGCCTCACCTTGCCTCTTGCCCAGTGACGGCTAGAGATAGGCATCAGCCATCAATGGATGGATGGTTGTAAAAATTTAAAAGTTGATAAGAGTGACCTGGAAAATGGACAGCTCTATAGGGTAGAGTTTAAATCCTAGGTGTGCATGCTTCATTATAGTTGCAAAGTATTTGGCTGGAAGGAAAGAGTAATTCCCTAAGTAAAAGTGGAAATGAGAACTTGAGTAATAAATGATCAACATAAGTTTAGGTTCTGCCTCTAGTGAGAAAATTGCCAGTGCATTGTGCCACTGGCAGTGCAATTAAAGGAGGCAAATTATCTAATATCCTCACTGAAATATAATGGCATTCAGTATTTTATACCCCAAGAAGAAAGGGGGATATAAACAAACTGAGAAAGTTTTTTTTATATATTTTCACACTACAGACCCAAACTCCAAACATTTCTCAGTCAAAACTATCATAAATCATTTAAATCATCAATCATTTCTTGTGATATTAAGGATAGAAATGTAGGAAATTATATTCACTTTCAATTAAACAATTTATGATTGAGTGATGAGGGAATAGAATATGAAAATATAAAAACACTTTTCAACTTTTAGAGAATTTCTTCACTTAAGCAGGTTATTTATTTAAGCAATCTGCAAACATGAGCAGACCTTTTATACATACAGAGGACAAACAAAAGCAAACAATCATACAATCAGCACTCACTGTGATAACCATGTCTTTACCTGTGTTGTCCTCTACCTTCAGCTTTGGGCTGTTCCTTTCCCCAAAGCCAATATTTTATGTGCTTTATAATCCCAGGGTAAAATATGTTTCAAGTGAATAAACTTCTTCTGGTATGAGAGGAGAAATCCATCTTCTTCCCCTTTTTACACTCACAAATCTAACAGTTTTTTCTTGTATAATGGACAGTTGTAATACAATTGTTGGCTATATTCCTTTTCTGTGTTGGTCTTGTGTGTGAAAATTTTAAAATTACTAATCCACTTTGAAAAACAATGGAATTTCCATTTTTCTTTTTTTTTTAAGACTTTCTGGCTCTCAAAAATGACCTCGTTTGCATTTTCAATAGTTAAAATCATGAAGTAGTTTCATTTTCATTCTGCCTTAAAGTCCCCCTTTTTAAAGAAGTAATGTTAAAAGTATATCTGCCTATGTCTGCACAGTTTCATATTAGCGTCACAATATTAGCTGATAAAAAATTATCATTTTCAGCTGCTATAAAATGTGCAGGTTTCTTTTTTACCTTCAGTTTCTTTTTTATTAAGTGCTCCCAGATGGCAATGCTTCTTTTTTGTCCCCGCTCCTTTGCCAAAGGGCCCTCAGAGGTATTAGATGCAATGCAGGAAGTTTGCTTTAATTACTGCGTTTGGTGATGAAATGCTGCACACACCATTATATTTTTTCTTGTTTTGTTTTGCTCTACAAATCTTCAATAGAGCTTGTCCTTGTTTTGTCATCAGTGGGCACGACATAATTGTAAATTTCATATTGCTTTCAAGGTATTATGAGCAATAATGGTCAGTTTTTTTTTTACTGACAAAATAACCACCAACCCCTGAAACCACATCTTATCCTTCAAAGAGCCATTTGAATTAGTGTCAGACTGCTAGGACCAATTTGAGTGTCTCAAGGGTTACAACTCAAATAGGTCATTACAAAGATACAAATTCATATAAAATTTGTACATAATGTTCTTTACTTAAAAGCAAGTAAAGAAATTACTTTTTGAACTCTTGACACTGGTGTAAGCAAACCCACATTAATGTGTCCTTTGCTCTGGTCTCATCCATTTTAATGCTGTCAGAGTGCTGATTGCAAACGATGAACATTCAGAGAGGTGGAGAAGAACACGGCTAGCAATTTGTCACTTTCCCTCCACCTTGTTTTACTAGTTGAAAAAGACTATGTGGAGAGGAACTCAGGGTTTGACTGCAGAACAGTTACAGAAGGATAATCAGATTAAAGAAGTGCAACAAAAGGGAAAGGAGGACATTGTGCTACATTTTTTTATCAAGTTAAAATTGAAAGAACTGCCTCATTAACTTTGTGAAAGTTTAGCTGTTGCTGTAAAATAACTCCAGATCCTCTGGTGAAAAAATTAAATGATGGGAAAAGAGAGGGGAAAGATATTGAGCACAGGCGTCAAAGTTATGTGTTAATTAAACCTAAAATTTGTGAGTACCTGCAAGAAAGGGCATTAAAAAGGTGGTAGACAGACTGCACAGTAGTGATTAGAAAATTATTTAGTGTGTAATTTGCAGTAGTCAGGTCACAAATATCTATAAACTCAAGCACATATGTTTTATTGTATGTTGCAATGTAAACAATGTTTTTTTTCATGCTAAAAGAGGGAGTGCCAATGCAGCTGTAGTGATTACGAACAGGAAAAAGAAAGAACATATTTGACTTATCAACAAAGTATAAGTCAAATATAGAAAAAATAGCTTTTGTTGGATAAGATGGCATTTGTTATGCATACATCTGTATGTGTGGGTGTTAACTGTAACATTATCAACCATCAGAATAATCAGAGTAATCTAAAGGGACAGAAAAGATAAATACCACAGATATTTCTGGTTATATGTCCTTGTCCTTCTCTTCTCCAGGCTAGGTCAGTTGAGCTTAGTGTGTTCTACATGAGTAAACATAAAGCAGAATGTATGGGAACGTAATGTTCCCTCCCCTGTAAACACCCACCAGTCCATTTATGACCCCCACCAGCTGCAACCTGCACCTGGGTTTTTCTTTTTGAAATAAATATTTGATTATGTTTGCTTGCCTGCATTAACCTGACATGAATCATCAAAAAATGCAAAATAGGGTTATCTCTGAATGAAAAGACTAAATAGATTAAGGTCGAAACAGTAAAGGTAAAACCTCAGCAAACAACAACTCATGTTTTCTTTCTCTATTCTTTATATTTTACAGATCAACCCTTTCTTGTCAGAGATACGTTATTAAGTATTTATTTATAACTGATTATTGTTCATGTAAGATTTTTAAAAGCATTCATCATTACCATTTTTAAACAGAACTTTAAACAATGTTTTTTCCCCTTCTTTTCCTAGGGTGGAATAATTTTAAATAACAACCATCTTGAAACAAGGATTTTTAAAAACAAGACCTGGATGAATAAATTTGGATTTATTATTTCCTCTAATTCACAGGAATCAAGAATTATATATACGGGCTCAGATTTATACATACACCCACTTGAACATTTGCTTAAATGTCCCTTATTAAATTATAGTTCAACCATATACTTGTTTATTTAAATTGTTGGGTTTCCTGGCACAGACTCTGCTTTTCAATATTGTCTATGAATTTTAAATAACGTTGAAGTTGGAACCATTCTAGAAGCCCAATATTGGTCTGCTTTTTCTATTCCAAAACTAATTTTTATGTGTGTTTGGAATCATTAGATTGTTGGTATACCAAACTTGGTTCACGTTTCAACCATTTGATCCAAACTTTCACTGTTAGATGAAAGGAAAATTGTTAGGGTGTTAAAGAACATCCTAGGAACTAGCTAATCTTAAGCTTTCCATAAACCAGCAACTACACTCGAGCATTATTGCCAATAGTTAACCAAGTTTAGCATCAACGTGGACAAAGAGGTTGTCAATCAAGAAAGAAGTTCCCGCTCCAACCTGACACCCTCAAGTTCAACTGAAATTTGCAGCTCCCTGTATGGATAGGTTTTAAGTCCATTCCATTGTCCATTCTAAGTTTTAAACTTAGAATGGACAAAAATTTAGCTTCTTGGCCAAAATGACATAAATAGGGTTTGAACTAGTCAGGGTGAGACTTTTAAACCTAAGCACAATGATCCACCAGTCAGGCATGGTGGTGGTAGTATCATGATGAAGATCACTTTCGCTGCCAGAGAAACTGCATCAGACAGTGTTTTAAATGATGAAAACAGCTAGATGGTTAAAACTTAGAACTGTGTGTTCCAGCAGGACAGCAATCTCAAACACATTAAAACTGGTTTTGGAATTGGCGAACAGTCTAACATTAGGGCTCTGAGAATTCTGAACTCCTAAATACTATAGAATATGTATAGGCTATGCTTATAAAGCTAGGTCCAGTCAACTCTACCAGTTTTAAGAAGAGTGGTTAACACCTTGTTGACTATTTTCACAAAATCCACCAAACTGCTTGCACTCTTAGTGAAGCTGAGATACCTGCTGATGGATAATCTATAAATATTAAGAATTGTGTTGTACTTTGCCGCCATATAGTGATCAGAGTGAATGTCAAAGATTGGACATAAACATGCATAGTAATTACATTTTAAAACCCTGTGAGGCAGTTACAGCACCAATAAAATAATCTGCATACCCAAGACTGGAAAATTTGTTTTATTAGTATTATTGCCAATTATGCGTAATGGTGTGAAAATGCATCAACATTTTATAATCTATTGTTTTTGCTATATCCAACAATCTCTTATTAACTTAGTTGCTACTAGACAGCAAAAAGGAGTTAATTTGTGTCTTTTCAAATATTAAAAAAGGTAAATACATTTCGACAGTAAAGGGTTAAACATCCAGTCAGTGTTATGCCAGATATTTGTTGTCGAAAATTGTTTGATTTCACTACAATGTGCTAATGAAAATTCAACCAAATGTTACTGTGTGTTGTTTACATATGTTTTAGATTGTACGGATTGTTCTGCCCCTCAGTGGATTAGAGACAATCCACAATAAATTAAAATTTTTGGACCCACTGTTTTTTTTCCAAAATAAATTACATCACTGAAGACACCAGGGGCCATCATCCACATCATATATATCATGTGTGTATATATATATATATATATATATACACACAGACCGTTTGTGAGGCTGAAGGGTTGTGTGTCTAACCAGGTAGTCAGCAACACAGGAGCACCGCAGGGGACTGTGCTCTCACCATTCCTCAGATTTCCAGTACAAGACAGACTCCTGTCATCTGCAGAAATACTCAGATGATTCTGCAGTCGTAG